AGGCAACAGGAGTAGATTAGTGGTTTCCAACATTTTTTTTTACCAGGGACCATTCTCCATCATTAGTACCAAAAGGGTTATGAATCAGTTTTTGGTCAACTTTAGATTTGGTGCCGATTCAGAAAATTGCATTAAATAGACCACATTAGCTCTAGTTTCTGATACAGAACATATGCCATCTAGTAGTCGCCATCTGCTTGCGCACAGAAAACCATATTTAATAAGCCTTGGCACTATAAGAGAGTTTTGCGAGACCAGTCACTCTAGTTGCAAAAGTGTAGTAATGGTGAGGCCACAGACCACATTTTAGTTCTTGTGGACTACAGGTTGGGAATCACTGAGGAAAGAAAGAACTTTGTGGGCTTCATGATGCTTAGGGACAGAGTTAGAGTTCTGCAAGAAAATCAGGGACAGAGTTAGGGTTCAGTGGGGCAGGGAAGTCTTCTGTAGGGTTCCATGATCAAAAATGTTTGGGGACTACTGCTCTAGAGCCACAGCATAGTCAGTAGCCTTCGTGGTTTAGAGATTCTGGGGGTTGCATTTCAAACTGCACTAAATGCATAGTTCTACAATATGCAATACTCTTCCCTTCCCTATTTTGGAAGCTGTCCAAGTTCAGCGTTCCTTTTAATGATGATCCAAGGGTAAGCTAGGGCTTTTTTGGTTTGATGCATCATATGCAACATGGCTGTTTAAATTTAGTTAATCTCTATAATACAACTATTCCAACATACTGTTCATATTATAAACCAGTGTGATTACAATAGATCTTCATCTACAATCAGAATTACCAACACCAGGCCACAAAGTAGGGACAGGGAAACCTGTGGCATTTTACATGTTGCTGGATTACAATTTCTATCAACCTGCCATGTTAATCAAGGGAACTGGAGCCAACATGTTTCTCTCAGCAATTGTAATTTTAATAACATTTCCTTCCTCTTGTTTTTTAAAAAAAGGAGATTCAAGTGACTACCTCAAAAGCAAGCGATTTCTCCTTTGCACAGCTGTCCCACAATCATAGGAGATTCTTCTACATCTGGAAGGGCAATCAGCATTAGAAGGGAAAACAGTATCTTACCCCATCCATTTTCTCCCCATTCCAAACCCCCTTCCCCTGCTTATCTATTGCTTATAGTTGAAAAAGCTAAAACTTATAATCATCCTGGGTCATTACTCTTACAAACTCAACCAATAATGCTGCCTATTGATCCCAAACTACAGAATAATGCACAGGAACCAGATTTGCAATGTGTAGATACCAACTCTGTACCCTAATGACTTCTGACACCACCCCTAGAAAACTTTATTAGCGCTACAATATTCAGGGATTTATTAACTTGCTCATCTTCCAGTGTTATACATGTAGTCATTCTGTACTCTATAGAAGACATACTGGGCAGTGGCACATAAATGGACACATATTAGTCACCAGAAAGGTTAATATTTAAACAACAAAGAAATATCAGTTCCACAGGCACACAGTTTCAGAGTGTAAAGCAGCCATTGTGGATCAAAGAAGCTTCAAAGTGTTAGGACATTTTAGGTTGGATCTACACTGCCCTATATCCCAGGATCTGATCCTAGAATATCTGCTTATCCCAGATTAGCGTAGACTCATATGATCCAGTTCAAAGCAGATAATATGGGATCAGATCTTGGGACACAGGGCAGTGTAGAGTCAGCCATAGTCTATCACTAGAGGTTATTCTCAGACTAATTGGTTTACATATTGTCAGGATGTTTATTTAATCAGCAAGTATTTTACAGATGGCCAGTGTTGGGAATATATGTAATTGCTATGGCCTTTATCTTCCCTGACTTTAGTGCTTATATTTGTTCCCCAGAGCCTGGGAACATCTTCCCAGAATGCCCAACCAAGGTGGCTAGATCTCTTTGAGGATTCCTGGAAATTAGTGTCCAATCCAGTAAGCTGCCTGGGTTCAGCTTTCCCCAATATCTAGAAAGAATAAATGATTTTGTGCCTAGAGCATGGCCAGTAGTCATGCATAATGGGAAGTGAATTCCAGAATCTAGAGATAAGAGAAGGCTATCCCCTATGGGCTACGCTGCACAATTTGAGCAGCCAAACCTGCAAGGAGCAACCATATAGCATACTCTAGCTCAGTGGTTCTCAACCTGTGGGCCCCCAGGTGTTTTGGTCTATAGCTCCCATAAATCCCAGCCAGTTTACCAGCTGTTAGGATTTTTGGGAGTTGAAGGCCAAAACATCTGGGGACCCACAGGTTAAGAGCCACTGCTCTAACTGAACCCACTGCTTTAGAAAGCATGTTGACCTACTAGGAAAGGACATAAGCTATTCTTCATACAAGTGTCTTCTCCCATGCACCCAAGAAGGAAGACAAGGCTATTAGCAAGGGTCAGGAGGGACGAAAGAGGAAAACACCTGTAGTGCAAGTAAGAACCTAATTAAAAGATCAGTGAATCTAAATCACAACTTAAACCTTTAATTGTTGAATTACACCGATGACTTGATTAAATGTTCCAGTTCTGAATGTATGTTGTTTCCACTTCTGTTCTCTGATGGTCATATATAATTCAGTGGAGCTTCCAGACTTCGTTATTTTAGTTTGCTTTTGTTTCAAAACTAATTTTCTGCAACCCTTTTAAACAAGACACGCGCTCAAGACAAGATAATTGCATTAATTCTTAGAATGCCACTTCCTCTGAATTAAAACTTGAAGGAGTGTAATAAGTACTTAGTCTTATCATGTGAACAAATATTCGTGATTCTTAATCTAATTTAAATGGAGCAACCTGATAACTCAATTAGAGCAATGGAAAGAAAGTAATTGTAGTGGGGGCGGGGGAGGAGAAGAAGATAGTTAAGTTTACAAAAAAATTATTTATCTGAACTACTCTTGATAGTTTTGCAGCTCATCTTACTTTACTGATTGAATTTGCAATGTAATTCGCTCATCTCCATATCCTTAAGTGCATTCTGAGTGGCTTAAATAGCTTCACACGCACTTTATTTGCTTATAATAGATCAGTATCTCCTGCTTCTAGATATCTGGGATTTATAATCTGAAAGGCACATCCAAACAGAGTTAATGCATACTGTCAGGCTTTAAGAAGCTAAAAGGCTGACTGGATTCTGCTGAATAAGATTGGCTATAGTTTTCTGTTGCAAACTAGCATCTAAGAGTTTGCTCATGAAAAAAGAAACAAGCCACTACCACCACAAAGGAAGCAACAACAGCTCTGCCACCATCATACCATATAATGGGTAGACATGCTCTGTGAGCTGGAAAACCAATTTTTGGCCACATCCAGAGAAGATTTCAGACTGTTTGAAGGAGGGGAGCCCACAAATAGCTTTTTCTGAGTCTATTTTCAAAGGATTTTATTAAGGTGATGAAAAAGGATTCTTAGGTTTAGGATGGTCTGCATGGGATCCTTTCAAGAGTCACCCATAGTTTACAAATCTTCCACCCCTGCCTTATTAAAATCACCTGATAACACAAATCACTGATAATCACACATATGTAGTTTTATATATATTTTTTTAAGAGGCTCTCCATTTAGACGGGCTTTTGAGATGGTTCATTTGGTCAAGATGACATCACAAAAGAATGGGAAGAGAAGGGCAAGAAACAAGGTATTCTGAGCAAGATATGATCGCTCTCTCTTGGCTATATTTTCTCAATTTTATTTTTAAATCTAAACATACCATGGTAAAGCATAGTTACCTCAGACTTGGGTAGTTTGATCTTCTAGATGTTCTGTAACTGAAATCCTACACATCGAAGCCAGCATGGCTAATGGCTGGGGATTGTGGGAACTGACATCAAAAACCTCTGAAGGACCAAAAAAATCTCCAGCTCTCATTTACATGCTCAGCAAAAAAAAAAAAAAAAAACAGCTTATAATGTGCATCTTTTTGACTAAGGGTGCACAAAGGGCAGCCTATGGATCACACACAGCCTTTGGGATTCCTCAGTGCAGTCCTTGGGACACCCAGAAGCTCCTTAAAGCCCCCAGATCCACCCAACCTCAATTATTTCTGGGCAATTTTCAGGCAACTAGATGAAATCTGGATGGTGGCCTTGGATCATGATTTTTGGATTATGTTATTTGAATGTTTATATTAATATGTTTTGACTCCACATTTTAATGTCCAAATATTATTAGGTTTTTATGATCTAATTGCTCGTTATATGTTATTGTTGTTCTATGTTAGGTTTCATATGTATATGAGGTATTAAATTTTGCCATAAATATGTTGGAAACCGCTTTGAGTCTTCCCAAGGGTGAGAAAAGCAGTATATAAGTAAAGTAAGTAAGTAAATAAATCTACCAAAACTGCCTAAAATGTAGCAGTGTTTCCTAACTCCAACCTTCTGAACACAAATATACACCAGCAAAAATGTGTACATAGTAACAGCAGGTTTATGTAAAGTTACTTTGCGCATGTTGAAACATCCTGATGTGGCCTGGCAGGTGGGAGCAGGGAGGAACATTGACCTTAATCCATGTGCAGTTGCTCTGCCATGTTTTAGAAGAAAGATTAATACACTGTATTTGTGCGATACATCAAGTTACAAAAATGTCAGGCAGAATAGATATCCTTATGACTTAAATAAGTTTTTGAACTCATGTGCTAGGATAGCTGCAATACTTTCAATGCTAGAATGATGGTCAACATATGGGTCTCCAGTTGACCATCATTCTAACTGCCATAGCCAATGGTGAGGGAATGGGGGCCAGCAAGAAAAGAACACTGGTGGTTATGGCCCTTTCTACACTGTTATATAACCCAGATTATCAAAGTAGATAATCCACATTATTTTCTTTAAACTGGATTATATGAGTCTACTCTGCCATATAATCCAGTTCAAAGCAAATAATCTGGATTTTATATGGCAGTGTAGAAGGGGCCTCAGTAGGCTTTATTGTACACCACCCTGAGATCTTTTGCTGTAGCATGAAACATAAATATTTCAATAAATATATTCATAAATAAAAGTAACTGCCAATCCAGACAGAGGATAGTACGTTTTTATTGTTGTTACAATCTGAAAGGACACTTAAAAAGTAATATTAGAATACCATGCAGCCTATGACAATGAAAACCCTAATATTGCCATTTTAAATAAGAACGTGAATTCAGCACAGATTCTCCTGGGTTAGAACAGCGTGGTAGTCTGAAACAAAGTGTACATCAAGCTCAGTTGTCAAAGCCACAGCTAGTATCTTCTAAACCAAAAACATCAATTTCATAACTTCTGCTGCCACAAAGCATTCAACTCCTCAGGATCTTCCTTCGTATTGGAGGTGGGAGCCTTGCCGAGCCATCTCTATTAAGACCTTCAAAGTAGTGCTGCTCTATTCTTCTGCAAAATGCAATGAGATTGCTGTAGTTTTTCACTTTTTCAGACAGTTCATCACTGATCAGCTGGGTAGTAAGGATTGTGAAGATATGGCCAAATACCAAGGCATCTAATTCAGTTGGCCTAGAAGCAAAGGAAAATGAGTATCTTGAGAATACGCACATCAAATGGCATATATGATGCAAACCATCAGTATATGGCTTTCTGTATACAGGGGGCAGGGCAGCCATTTCAAGGAGAACATTCTAACAATTGCCATAATTGGAGAGCCGCCCTTATAATAGCTGCTTGGGGTTTTCGTTCCTAAAATGCACGGAGGCTCCAACACTGGTATAGCAACACAAAATGGCTAGATTTCATTTGATTAGCCTGACGATTGGATGCAGATTAATGGATTTAAGCTGCAGGAAAAGGTATTCCACCTGAATATTAGAAAGAACTACCTTTCGAAGGGCCCCTCCACAGTCATATAACCCAGAATATCAAGGCAGAAAATCCCACAATATCTGCTTTGAACTGGGTTATCTGAATCAACACTGCCATATATTCCAGTTCAAAGCAGATAATGTAGGATTTTATTCAGCTATGTGCAAGGGGCCTAAGAGCCATTTACCAGTGGAATATGCTGCCTCAACACATGGTGGAGTCCCCTTCTCTGTAAGTTTTTAAACAGAGGTTGGAAGGCCATCTGTCAGGGGTGCTTTAATTGAGTGTTTCCTACATTGCTGAGTGGTGTTGGATTTGATGGTTCTTCCAACCCTATGGTCTTATGAGTCCCAGACTGTGCTTGCTGCCTGACCCAATGGCAAAAGAAAGCCAAAGGAAGGCAATACAGGCAGCAGAGGCAGGCTGGGTGGCTAGCCATTAAACATCAGTGGCTAGTTTTCAGTCTTGTGCCTTTTTTCCCTCCAAATCTTTCCCTTTTAGTCTAAAGAAAGAAAAGTGGGCAATATTAACAGACAAAACGATGCAAACATGCATAAGAAAATTCCACAGATGTTTTCCTTTTCAAGGAAAGTGTGGGTAAGAATGATACAGGGTAGTCAAATCAATTTAAGAAGAATTGATCAAAAACTGTTTAAAGCATTATAAGTAATAATAATTATAAAACAAGCAAACAGATTCCCCCTCCAGCCAATCCCCAAGGATTTTGTTATGAAATGACTGCTTGGCATTGGAATAACAGTATGGTATGGCAACAGTACAGTATTGCTGGCATCATTTTTGCATACTGGTAGGCAGAGGTGTGCAGGAACTGCACCAGTTCCGGATCCTTTTGTCTGGCATCCTCGCCCATAGCTTCAGAGCAGTCACTTTTATGTTAGTTTTTATGAGGGTGGAGTTTAGAAAACAGTTCCTGGTTTGTGTCAGCCATTTTGTTTGCCCCTTTGCCTGAGGAAAAGGGGGCCTTTTGTGTCAGTTAGTTGGCCACATCCCTTTACCTGAGGAAAAGGGGGCCATTTTGTGTCAGTTAGTTGGCCACGCCTTTTTGCCTGAAGTAAAGGAGCCATTTTAGATCATAGACCCCCCAGGGAATCCTAGAGGCAGGACGTGTATTCAGCTGGTCCCAGAGATTCAGGCTTGGACGAGCCATTTCAAGTCAATACTTAATAACCAGTTGCTTTTCAACCAGTTATACAACTACTACTTAACAACCAGTTCTACTCTTTAACCAGTTTTACTACACCCAATTACTCCAGACCAGTTACCTACTTCAACCAATTAGTTAAACAATAACTGGTTAATACCTTGGGTATTGGGTGCCTCAGAAACCCCTATACCAGAGACTGAGAGCAAGGAAAACTCCTCAGAAAACTGTCATCTATTCTCCTCAGAAACATCCACATTTGGTAGCTTCAGAATAAATAAGTTACCTTTCAAGTTCTAAATATGAACTTTGTTGTGGGGAAATCAAGCCTAGGTGGAGTTAGGCCCAAGATCTGCTAATAAATCTTTACCACTTCCTCAAAGCAACAGCATGGACATTAATTCTGTGGGGTTCCCTATTCTAAATGAAGGCAATCCAGCATTCCCCAAGCTGACAGAGAGATAAGACACGTTTATGCCAAAGAGACCTCAAAAGCAGCTTGGATGCGACTGTACAAGAGGTCTCATGCACAAAAGCAGCACTGAAAGTTCTAACCTTGCACCTGACTTCTTGGGTTTGGAAACAAATAAAAGCAGAATACTACATCGCTTCGATCTAAAATGCTATAAGATGTTTTGTTTCTGAATCACACCAAAGTTCCACTGCCTCTTTTCTTGGCTTTAGAAGTTGATATTGCAGAGGTCTGATCAACAGAGAAGCAGGAGCATGATCTTTATTCAAAGACTCATCACTTCCTCACTTGTTTTCGCTTCTGATGACAGAAACTATTTCTCCCTTTTGTTTATAAAACAAGGAGGTGCTTCCCCATTCCTGAACAGCCAGTTCCTTAACTTAAATGAAGACGTCACTTACCTCTTGTTGAAGAAATACAGCTGTGTCCCAAGTCTTTGAGAAAGGGCTTGGCAGCACTGATCAACATCTTCTAGCACCTAAAGAGCAACCAGACAGAAAGAGCAAAACTTCAGTGATTAGTGAGCACACTGAAAATATTTCCTTCACGTAGACTACAACTGGCTCTACTGCTAGACAGTGCGGCGGTTGCCTCAGATAAAATGTGCTAAGAGGTGACGAGTGCACACACCTATGGGAGACAGTATGCTTTGTATGCACTACATGAGTCCCCTGCCCTCAAGTGTTGTGGAGGATTCCCAGCACATGTAGTACATTACCAGTACCAAAATAAAATTCAATTCCAGTTCCGATTATGGAAAGATGACTTTTTTCAAATAACCTGAGCAATGCCAGATACCCAAGCTAGTAATCATATACAAATAATAATAATAATAGTAATAATCATCATCATCATAACAATTATGATAATAATAATAATCTTTATTTATATCCCGCCACCATCTTCCCAAAGGGGACTCGGGGCAGCTAACACGAGGCCAAGCCCAAAAGTAACAATACAACAAAACAAAATTCAAAGAAACAAAATAGCATCAAAATAAACCCAAGAAATGACAAAATAAAATAAACAGTCTCAAAATAACCTAATAGAGAAATTAAACACAGGGCGGGCCAAATGTGCTAAGAATAAAATTGATATGATTGGTAAAACCCTGGGTGAGGTAAGAAAAATTTGTGAAGAGGGAGAATGTGTTTATAAGGAGGAGCTCCAAAGTGACAGAAAGAGGTAGGCATTCATTAGAAGTCAGCAACTTCTGTGTAACCTTTTACAATTTATAAAAGTTTTATCGTTACTATATACTCATATGAAGACAAAGTAATCCAAGTTTGTAGCATTAGTGACTGACCTGATCAAGTGATTTGCTGCCCCAGCCAAGGGCTTTCATTTTACGACGGATTTCCCATTGCTTCTGATAGGCCAAGACATGGTTCAGGGGCCAGGGATAAGGGAATCCGTATCTTGGGTGCGTAATCTTTAAGAAAAGAAAACCTACTCCTGTTATTATATATTTGAGCATAGAGCAATTTTTACAAAATGATTCAAGCTGCTATGTTTTTATTGTCATGGCATAGTTTTGCACACTAGTCTGTGTAATTATTCATAAACTGCAACTTTAAAAAAATCCTCCAGAACACATGGCTTTAAAATGATATTCTTGCAACCAGAACATCTAGTAATGACACAAGGCTCTTCCTCAAAATGTATCTGCAAGCAAAATTAAAGCAAAACATGGTATCATTAGTGGTAGAAACCTCCATGTTTCATTTATGAGGAGGGACTTGCAATTGTGAGCAAAAGTGTTTTCTCATTAAAATTTAATTAAGATAAATGCTGCAGAATCACTCACCTCCTGGACTGTAGTATCGTCACACCACTGGAGATAGAGCTAGGAACCAGAAGAATATGAAAACTTCATAAGATGTAAGCTTACAGAGACAGCTAGTTATTCCTTGTCGCTTTGTCTTCTTTCTCTTCCAAACAACCCATTAATAACATTTAGACCAGAGAAGGGCAGTTGCCAATTATGGAGTGGCGCAAGCAGAAGGTCCCATTGGACCACAAACAACCAAAATTGGATTTGGGATTGAATATGCAAAATGAAAATGTGCTATATTTTGTGTCTTTAAGCCCACTCTACATTTTTTTAAAAGTAAGCTATCACTTGTACTGCAAAGAATAGCATTCAATTCTACTCCGCCCAAGTATCATTCATTTCCCAAGACTGAAAAATTACTAGTGCCTTGCCATACCTCTGCTGTCAAAAGCATATTATTGACTAACTCCATGTAGGCTTTCATCTCAGCTTTTTGGACTTCATCCAACCCATCACTAAGTGAATGGCCCTAAGGCAAAAAAAAGGAAAGCGGGAGAGAAGAAAAACGATGGCAAAAATTATCAGTTTGGGTCCTTTCCAAAGCCCATGGATAGGGCTTTGGCTCGCTCCAGAAAAACTCACTATATCATAACACATTAAAAGCATATCTGTAGAACACAGGAACTCAGACAGTTTCACAAAGAAGAATAAAACAAATACCAAAAGGTAATCTTTTAAGCAGATAAAACACAAGGGATACCAGGAGACAGTATTGCAAACAACACATATTGAGAATATTGCTTTTGCTTTTCAGCTGAAAAGCATTTTAATGACTTTTTTTTGTAAATAAACAGAAATACCTTGTCATGATACAAAATTGCCTTATATAAAATACAGTGCGCAGGTAGGAATCTACAAGAGGAAAACAAGAAACAGCCTGAATACTGATGATCCAGAATTTTAAAACTATGTGAATCCTTGGTCCATAAGCAGTTGACTGCTAAAGCCAAGAACAAAGTGCAACGCCGAACGCAGCCAATGTGGCTGAAAGAGGAATGCAGGAATCTTTTAGGCTGGAAGCAAGATCCAGCCTAAACATCAAATTGCCTGAAGAATACTGTAGTTGGCAAAAAGGAGAGCGGGAAAAGCAGCTTAAGAATTGTAACTTTAATGGAAGAGGTATTTATACAAACAAAACCAATGAAGAATTCTGGCTACTTTTATGGAGGCTCTTCTGTAGGGGAACAGGCACTAAAATACTGACTGGGATTAGGGGCACATTATTTTTTACATGAGAGAACATCTCTCTAGGGGAGCCCCCGCTGGCGCAACGGGTTAAACACTTGCACCGGCAGGACGGAAGACCGACAGTTCAGAGGCTCAAATCTGGGGAGAGCGCGGATGCAGCTCTCTCTATCAGTTCCAGCTCCCCATGCAAGGACATGAGAGAAGCCTCCCACAAGGATGGCAAAACATCAAAACATCTGGGTGTCCCCCTGGGCAACGTTCTTGCAGACAGTCAATTCTCTCACACCAGAAACGACTTGCAGTTTCTCAAATCACTCCTGACACGAAAAAAAAATCTAAGAATGTTTACTAGGTCATTCGGTGTAACTCTACAATCAACCTCTGTTCAAAGTTTACCATAAAATCACAGTGGAGGACCAGCAAATGCCTAGAGATGTGATCTCTCTAGGAATTTCTATGTTCTCCGGTGCAACTCAATGACAAAAGTAGACTATAGGGTCGCACTGGGGGACCTAAGGATTCCTAGAGAAAATATATTAATCAAATCAGTGAATACTCAAATCCACAAAAGTGAAATCCAAAAATATGCAGGTTTCACTGTATATTGTTTCTGGAATTAATTAATTCTATAGACTGGAGGAAAGACTGACATCGTTCCCTAACTTTTCACCCTTCAGCACACATTTTAGCACATCTGGTCCAGCTGACTTATCCAAACCTATCTCCCTCTATGAGCCAAGTAGAGTATTAAGATCGGCTGAGGAGGTCCTGCTCTCAGTCCCACCACCTTCTCAGGCGCAAACTGATGGGGACAAGAAACAGGGCCTTCTCGGTGGTAATGCCTCGGCTGTGGAACTCCCCGCCACCAGCGAGATCTGATCGGCCCCCTCCCTCCTGACATTGAGGAAATTACTCAAAGCATGGCTTTTAAAACAAGCATTTGGAGAGTGAAATGAAGCAGCCAATACAACATCGGGATTGGTGCAATGTCCAATGTTCCGTTATGTTCTTTATGTTATGTTTGATGTTTATAGTTTACTGGTTTTAATCTATTATTATGTGCTACTTTACTTATGTGTTGTATTTTATATTCTGTGAGGCATTGAATTTTGACATTTACTTTGTTGTGAACCCCCTTGGGGTTGAGAAAAGTGGTATATAAATTAAATAAATAAATAATATTTTAAGATATGCATTTAAACACACACACACACACACACATCCAAGTGGCCATCTTATGAGGAGGAGAGAAGAAAACTATCCTGAAAATCAGGAAGATCTGCACAGCATTTATAAACAAACTCCAGAGGATTGCATGGCAATTTTGTTGTTAGCAAATGAAGAGGTTCCACTTAATACAGAAGGGAAATCTCACTGGTGGAAAATGGGACCAATCTTTGTCCAGTGTTCCTAGTACTCCAGAGCACAGTGGACAGGTTTTAAAAGGGAAGTGTGTGTGGGGGAGGGGCTACCAAAAGTTACTTCTGCCAGTGGAAATCACTAAATTCAACCCAGTGTCAAAGACTGTAGATATTGTTGTGTTTGTGTCTTTTAGGTTTCCCACCATCTCAAAAATATTGTGTGTGGTTTTTCCCCGCTCTCTTTTCTTTTTTCAGTAGGCTATCCTTCTCATGCATACTTTCTGCAGTTTTCCACACTCACATCCAAAGTATTGCACAGAAGTGAGCCTTTTTTACAGGTCATAGTCCAAACAAATAGGAAAAGAGCTATGGGCTAACTTCAAAACATTATTTTTGGTCTATAATGTCCAGAATCCCCAGCTTGATTCTAGGAATTGTGACCCAAAAGGTATGTTTCTCCAATCCTGAATAGAGGCATGAAGATAAAGCAGAATTCAATGCACAGCTATAATAAGCCTATCCATCTGCAGATGTGCACCTGGGAACGCCTCTCCTCGTATCCCCCCACCTTCTGCAAAACTGGATCCAGTCCTAAAGCTCATTAATAAATTATTTTTCTTTATGAGCCATTAGAAGAAGCCTTACCCTGCAAAATAAATTATTCTGTCCTGTCTTCCGAAGTTCTGATTCTACTTTATTAACTCACAGCATGATTTCATAGACACAAACTTAATTAGTACAACTACTGAACAGATATTTCCTGAGCAAATTAAGTGTTTGCACCTTACCTTGGCTTTTACAAACTGGACAATGGGACCAAGTTCAGACACTACTTGATTTCCCACATGAATAAAGGGCACTTTTCCTGAGTGGCAAAGAGAGAAATAGTACTTTAAATAAAGTTTAAAATTTGTCACCAAATCAAGAGTATCATTTTGACTTCTGGTTTATTGATCTAAACAGAGCAGGGCATTGACTGCAGAAGCTGTAATAGAGATGCAGAGCTGTTCTACCAACAAGATGTGTCCCTTCAGGGAAGGGCCATTCTGTGCACAGTCCTTAGTGATGCACCCTCAACTGAACAAAACATGGCCAAGTGAACTTCATTGCCGGGCTTCAGCACAGCAGGCTTTAGCACAGCAGGTTAAACCACCAGCTGCAGAAAATCTTGTCAGGTGAAAGGTTTCAGTTCGAAGCCTGGGTCAGGGTGAGCTCCTGACCTTTAGCCCAGCTTCCGTCTACCTAGCGGTTCAAAAGCAAATGTGAGTAGATAAATAGGTACCGCTTTAAAAGTGGGGAGGTATTCTGAGGCACCCATAAGGAATTCTGGCAATAGGGTCAAAGGAGGAAGTTCACGAACAAAGCTCATTGGCAGTGAGATGAAGTGACAGCACAGATGTGTGTGAAAGGTGAAGAAATATCAGAATTACTTGGAAGAGATGGGGGGGGGAGCGCAGGAGAATTGTTTTGGAAGTTTTGAAAAACAGGATCGCTTTGGAACAGAGAGGAACAATTAAAGGACAGAGCTGGGAGGAAGAAGTGAAAGAAGGGGTGAAAGATTTGGTTTGTGTGTGTGCATGTTTGCTTCAATCTAATCTGATTGACCATAAAACCCATGATACTAGAGATTTTTGGGGTACCCAGCCTCAACTATATGTAGACTCATATAATCCAGTTCAATGCAGTTCAACTTGCTCTGACTAGCTGCTTTGAGTCTCCTTTGAGGAGAGAAAAGGCTGGATAATAATAATAATAATAAAGCAGTTTAATGCTTTTTATAATAGCAGTGCATTAGCACCCTAGGAGACTGTGGGGAGCTGCACCACCTCCACTGCCAAAGAGAATTCAAAAAGCATTTTGCTCCCAACAAGGGTTTTTGCCATGATTTTAAGACCCGCGAAGCATTTTAAGCTAAGAGAGACTTTTTTAAAGAATGTGACTAGACCTCACTTCCTGTTTTTTTTTTTTTAAATGTATATCTTGGGCCTAAAATGGCACAGAGGACCGCCCCAAGAGTAGCAAAGCAGTGGATCTCATCCTGTGGGTCCCCAGGTGTTTTGGCCTACAACTCCCAGAAATCCCAGCCAGTTTACCAGTTGTTAGGATTTCTGGGAGTTGAAGGCCAAAACATCAGGGGACCCACAGGTTGAGAACCACTGTCCCAAAGGAAAAGAAAAATGGGCCCTGAAGGGCACAACATCAGTCCTGTGGGCTGCACTTCATCCACTCCTGTCCAAGAGTCAAAGACTATAATCCTGAGACCACTTTCCTGTGGGAGAACATGCATCTCCTCAATGAAGAGCTTTATACAGTATCACTGGTGTCTGTTTCTCTTAATAAGGAGCTATCATAGGAACTGATGGATTAAAACCTGGAGAAGATTTACCACCCCACCATTGGTGGCCACTGCTTTAAAGTAATTGATCTGAGATGATCTCACTTTCTTTGAAACAGGGGTCTTGTTGAGGCAAGCAGAAGAGGCCAACATAAAGCTCAGGAATACCAAATAGTTACACCTTCACTGCCCAAGAGCATTACTCAGGATCACTGCCAGTCAACAAAGTAATTGTACGCAAGAAGCGAGGCATCCACACAATGACATACATTGCAAAAGGCACCCAGGGTCTTTTGAACTTCCAGACCTCTCAATGGTTTTATCGATCCAGACTCTACTTCCACAGAACTGCTACATAAAGAATGATCTTTTGGTGCTCCTACAGCAGGAGTCAGCATTTCAGAGCTCTCAGAAGGCTCTTAACAGATGGAGAGAGGGAAAGTACAGCCAACCACACTGCCCTTGCATACAAAATCCCAGGGAAGGGGGGAAATGCTTTTTGCAACGATGGGTTTTACTTGATGCAATTAGGGCCACAATCCTAGGCATGCTGTTCATCGACAAGTCCCCCTGGATCCAGCCATGGGTAAATTACATATATAATCACATATAAAACTTAACAAGTCTTTTCCAAGTTAGGCAGTGGAAATGCTATCTAATTACTAAAAACAAAAGAATACTGACTTCAAATTGCAATGTTGCTTATTTCCATTATTTTTTTCTCTCTCCAAACCCAATGGCCTAGATGAATGGCTCCCATCCTGTGGTCCATGGACCACCAGTGGTCCGCAAAAACTAAAATATGATCCGTGGCCTCACCGTTAATACACTGTTACAACAGGAGTGACTGGTTTTACAAAACCCTTTTATAGAGCCAAGGCTTATTAAATATGGTTATCTGTGGGTGAGCAGAGGGCAACTACTGGATGGCATATGTTCTGTATCAGAAACTAGAGCTGATGTGGTCTATCCAATGCAATTTTCTGAATCAGCCCTCCGGATAACCAAACCGAATCTAAAGCTGACGAAAAACTGATTTGTAACCCTTGTGGTACTAATGTTGGAGAGTTGTCCCTTGTCAAAGTGGTCCCTGGTCAAAAAAAGGTTGGGAACCACTGGCCTAGATGGATGATGAGATGATCCACATTTTACTAGCTGACTGACAGATTAAGGAGCAGATTATGCCCAAGTGTTTCTTAGTACACAAGGAGGCATGTCAAAATGACAAATGGAAAGGATCTGGCACATCATTTCAGTGAATTCCAAACTTCTTCATGTAATGCATGCTTTAATCCACAGATGGAGAACATTCAGGCTCCAAATGCTGATGAGGTACCTACTCCCATTATTCCTCATCACTAGGCAAGGTGGATAGGAATGAAGGGAACTGAAGCAGATAACATACAGAGAGCTGAATGCTCTTCCTGTTCTGCATGAGACTACAGTGGTCCATTGCTAGTGAGTTCAGAAGGAGCCACTGACATTGGCAAACCTGGTTTCTGGCAGTGACCACAACCTAACCAAGGGTTACTTTTGAGCCTAACAGCTCAGATTCCCCAAAAGAACAAAATTTGCGCAAGGATGTGTGTCTAGGGACTTCCATTGTCCTAGTTATACACAAAAGCTATGAAATCATGGGATCACCGTTGACAGATGACTCATATTTGTGTATGTGCCTTCCAGCTGTATGTCAGCATAGTGATTCTATGAATTTCATAGCTGTATTGTATAACACATACACATGAACATACACATACACAATATGGTAATAATAATAATAATAACAACAACAACGACTTTATATACCGCCCTATCTCTCCAAGGGGACTCAGAGAAGTTTCCACATATGCAAACTAATACAAAAATATACAATATAAAACAAAAATATAGGCATAAATTGTTAACACAACATATACATTATGGTAAGCTCCCTCCAGAACATGTTCCCTCTGAGGTCATGCTCATGATTTAAGAATTTCCCATCAGCTTGGTCAGTAACCCTCCTGGCTGAGGTAGTTTGGGAGCTGTAGTCCAAATACATATGGTAATTCTTCCAGGCTTTAATCTTAGGTAACTAACAGACCTCATCATCAAAAAATTAAGAAAGGAAACTAATTGCATTTGAAGCCACAGCAGCAGTCCCGTGCATACAAAAATTACCCCCAGTTGAAATAGAAAGAGGGATGGGGTTGGGATTCGGACAACAGAGATGAAAGGGTGATGAGGGTGACGAAGAGATGAGGAACATCAACTTGCAAAAGCTCTCTTTTCCAGCCATTTTTTCCCAGATGAAATTAGATATTGAAAGTGATAATAGCGATTGGCAGAAAGAGGCTATAGAGATCTTTAGACATGAGAGTCCAACTTTCCATATGCAAACATGGTTTCTCATCTTATTTTCTAATCTAATACAAAGGGAAAAACATAAGAGAAAGAAAATCTCCTCCAATTCCTCTTACATGGTGAATGGGCCAGTTCCATAATGAAACCCACGGAGCAGTTCCTTCCTACCCCACAGCTAAAATTGCCCCGTGTTATCCCACTGAACCACAAGAGCTCGGAAATGCTGAAATGCGTTCTATTTCTTCCTCATAGAAAACAAAGCTGTACTGTAACAAGAAGCAAGCTCAAACACAATTCTGACTGATCTCCAAGATGAGATACTGTTGCCATGGTTTCTGAACACAGGTGTAATGCAAATGATTTCCACACTTACCAGATGGGGACATGTATTCTGCATTTGGCCTAGAAACCACCTGGAATGGCAGATTGCACATTTGTAAAAAGGCCTGAAAATTAAGAATGGAAAAAGGTTACGTTTCTAATCTGAAGGCAAAATAAATATTTCCAAAAGCAACAGAATTACAAACCTCGGGAAAATAAGATAACTGTGTTACTCTTTTGTAGGAGAAATGGCGCTTGTAACCAAGCTATAGTTTGAACGGCATTATATGGCAGTGTAGATCCAGCCTAAATAAGTTTATTTGGTGCTTGAAATCATCTGGAATCCACAAAGGCTTATATCAAACAAAATGTGTTAAGTCTTTACAGTACCACATGATCTTCTGTTGTCAAAACACTGTTTGCCAAAGAGCTCTAGTTGTACATCAGAGTGGGGTACTTATAGCCCTCCAGATGAAAAAGGATTTTTCTAGACCATGCAGTCAATGGCGAGTCATGCTGGAAGCTGCAGTGCCACAATATCTAGAACAATTGTTCTCAAACTGTGGGTCCCCAGGTGTTTTGATCTATAACTTCCAGAAATCCCAAAAGAACGTGACTAGACCTCACTTCCTGGTTTGTTTGTTTTTTTTAGAAAGTCAATCTTGGGCCTAAAATGGCACAGAGGACCACCCCAAGGGTAGCAAAGGTGCTTCCCCAGACCTCTTAAAGCAGTGGATCTCAACCAGTGGGTCCCCAGGTGTTTTGGCCTACAACTCCCAAAAATCCCAGCCAGTTTACCAGCTGTTAGGATTTCTGGGAGTTGAAGGCCAAAACATCTCGGGACCCACAGGTTGAGAACCACTCTTCTAGAAGGTAACAAGATGTCCATTCCCATTCTAGGTGAACAGCCTGAGATTTGGGGGTGACATAAAAGGGGAGGGGTGCTGGTTACTGTATTTCTTCAGCTATAAGACACAACTGATTATAAGATGCACCCTAATTGCAGTGCAATCACCACCAACAAAAATACATAACATACACCTTTAATTCTAAGATGTACCCCATTTTAGAGATGTTTATATAGGGGGAAATTCATCTTAGAATTGAAGAAATACAGTATTGAATTTGTGACTATTTTCACTGCCAGAAAGGAAATGCTTATAGGGTTTTCTGCCTCATATGCCAAAATGATTTGGCTAGTGTTAAAAAGTGTGTTGCCTGCTTGGTGGAGGCTACTTGCTGTTCTGGCTGAGACAAAACATCTTCTGCCATTTGCTCTGCACATTTTGGAAAACAAAAGCAAACAAATTCTTTGCAGCTACTCATTAGTAGTCTTAAAAATAAATCAAAACTATTTGAAGTTGTACCACAGTAAGGTAATAACATAGCTCCAAAACATGTCTTTGTAAAAACACATAGAAAGAAAAGAGGTTTGTGTTTCCAATCATAATACTCACACACACACACACACACACACACACAAATGGATAGCTGCCTTGACAACTTAAGAATTATTCTCCAATGCAACAAGATGGGGGCTGGAGGAAAACATGCCTGGAAATTATAAAGCATGAATAAATGTACAAAATCTTCCCGTTTCCCTATCAAGCAGTGGCAGGCACTGCACATTGAAAAGTCTGCCTGAAATTATAAATGAAAAGTGTTCAGGATCCTTCTTGGAGTGACAGATTATATTCCTAATGCAGTTATGGTAATAGCCACGTTTGTAGTTTAACATAAATTAAGAGTTTAATTGTATTTGTGACTCCTTTAAACAAAGTAACACATTCTTTTGTACCTGTAAATGTAATTTATTGCAAAGCCAGGTTCATTTTCCAAAACAATCTGTCCTCCACTGCACTGGAATGCGGCTATAATGGTCTAATGTAATTCCTCCTGCAGAATGTGGGAAGAGTAGACTCACTGGTAGCACAGAGCAGGTTTTGAAGATAAATGAAGATGCTATTCATTCAGGGGTAATTTCATCTTAGAACCATATGAAAGATGTTTCACTCAGGCACAGTGGATGCCTGGCTTGGGATTTCAGTCTATTTTCAGCTACAATGTAATGTTGTTAAATCGATTATGTTGATACTGTATTTCTAATCATGAAGAATTCCAGCTATTATTCTGCTTAAAGAATGGATTGTCAGGCTTTCATTAGATGGCTCAGGCTCTCTCTGGGTTGGAGCAAAAACCACAGTTTCAGTTCACAAAATTGAAATTATAGATTTACATTAAAAGAGTCACAAATCAGTAAAACTCAAGACCTAACAGCCAGCAAAGCTGCCTTTTAAAAATGTGGTTGCATAAAACAGCCCTCTTTTTCATGCTTAATACAAAGCAGACTGAAGATCTTTCAGTGCAACATGAGGATTCATCTTACACAAACGCATCTCTCCTGTGTTTCTAGGATTATTTCGGGGAGGGATGAGGATCGATGGCCTCCCCTGTGATCTTGACGCACCGTTTGGATACTTTCATAGATTAAGAAGCACTCGTCCCAATATCAGCCTCAATGTTGGCTAGTGTTTAAGGGCTATCCTTCCAGAAAACTCTATAGGAATGACCTAAAATTATATCTGATGAAAAATACTTGTTGGCTTGTGTTACACGCATATGATGTGCAGACTTTACAGTAGTCCGCTGTAATGTACCATTAGTCATATTTTTAAAAGTTGAGGTGATGGGAAAAAATGAAGACATTTAAAATCAGCATAAAAATTGATTTAAACTGTGCCACTCTCATTTCAGATGATTACAAAAAGTTTGATTTTGTTGGTTTGTGTTATCAGTTTACTGCAAAGCAAGGGACTACAAAAGTTACGTAATTAAGTCCTGAATTTTAATAATGCTGTTCTTTTTACATGTGTGTATCTTTATGTGCATATACACACACACATTTTGACAAGAAACAACAAATACCAAGGGAGCAATCCTATGGCGATGTGGCAAGTGGAATCACCCTTGATGATCTAAATTGGTATCAGCTCTTGATAGCCAAGGCAGGAAGGGCCCGGTGGCTTTCTTTTATTATTAAAATCCTCAATTCTCAATTATCTCAATGGTACGAGATAAGCAGAGGCCCAGACTGATGTTGTGAGAATGATGAGGAACCGATTTCCTTACAGGGAGCGTCAACCCTCCTGTTTAAGGAGCTCCAGTGGCTGCCATTCATTTACCGGACCCAATTCAAGGTGCAGGTTCTTACCTACAAAGCCCTGAACAGTTTGGGACCTGCCTATCTGCGTGACCGCATTTCTGTGTACGAACCCACACAATCTCTTTGATCATCTGGAGAGGCCCTACTCGCGCTCCCACCTGCATCAGAAGCACGGTTGGTGGGGACGAGAGAGAGGGCCTTCTCAGTGGTGGCCCCTCGACTCTGGAACTCAAGGACATCAGGCATGCCCCAACTCTGGCAGTCTTCAGGAGGAGCTTGAAAATGTGGTTGTTCCAGTGTGTCCTCCAAAAGCACTTTATATTGATTTAGGTTTGCTTGTATGTCTCCATCAACGCCCCACCTCCTTTACCTTGTTCATGCCTAGCATTATTTTTAAAACTTCAATTACATTTGGCCCAACCATAGATTTTAAATGTACACTGTACCTTGTTTAATGTTTATGCTATTTGTGTATGAGATTTATTTTAATTGCTTTGTATTGTATTTGTTATTGCTTGTATTGTTGTATTGTGGGCTCGGCCTTATGTAAGCCACACCAAGTCCCTTGGGGAGATGGTAGCGGGATATAAATAAAGTTTTATTATATTATTATTATTTCCTTGAAGCCAATCTCTATGTCACCCTGCTATACACACACACACCCCTTGAATGCACTATTTATGTTCCACTACTTGGGCTCTTTTCTCCCACATCAAGGAGGTCCAGCTGCAGACCCATCTCTCCACCCATAGACCTATCACTCTCAGGGCAGATGAGGTGGTCTTCAATATCACGTGACTCTTCAGCCCCACATAGGGAGCATAGGTTCACTCTCTCAAAAATATTGGGCAAATCCCATTTTTTGGTACCGGAGAAAGTTTGCAAAAGATCTAAAGGTCAAATTGGTTTTCCTTAACTAATGTAGTTATTTGCAAGGCAAAATGTGAGTGGATGATACTGGTACCAAATATGAGTCCTCAATTAAATAGAAATAGCTTCTTTATGGAAAGCCTCTAATACATCATTAAAAGAAGAGTGGGATATGGATAATGGGACAACTGTATCAACTGACACAGGCTGGTTGACAGCAAATTTTATTGAAAATTGAATTTATTCATTACATATTGCAAATGATTTATTATTTCTGGGATTGGTTTCCTATCCTTCTCATTTATGAAAGAAACTGTTCAAGGTGACTTTATGTACCGATGTATTTCTTACATTTAAAAGAAATGGCCTAAACCCCAAATAGAGTAGACCTATTCAATCAATATGAATTTATTCGTATGTGTGCACCTATGAAAGTTCAGTTTAGTCAGTGGGTCCACACTTGAAGGGACAAACAACTGGATTTAAGCTATAAAGTAGGACATGTAACATCATCTCCTTATACATTTCCAGACATGCCCCCACCCCAACCCCCACAAATATCCTCTAGAAATAAACAATAAAAGCAATTAAAATGGCAATTGCCACCATTTTATGGAAAGAGCTCTGTGTCTCCCCTTACAGAAGAGACTCTGTGAAGTTTGTTTCTAAAAGATACTGAATCCAGAAAAAAAGTTATAGGTGGAAACACATTGTTGGCTACGAAAAGAATGCAAAGTGTTTCAAAAAGATGGGCCCAGTTCCAAAGCAGTATATTTCATGATGGCAATATTTTCCAATTAATAAAAAGTTAATACTGGTTTAATGAGTTGTCAAATTACCAAGTTTTAATAACCATTTCGAGAATGCTTAGTACCTAGTTATCCTGCGCAGTAGTTGAACATCCTTGCCCTTTATCCAATGTCCTCTCTCCATTGTTGCAGCTTGCACTTATTCCATTCCTATTGTTTACAGCTTAGACATGTTTACAGCAGATTACCGCCACTAGTTGATGGCCTCAGTTTTATTGACTCTGAGCTGAAGTTTTTATATGCGTATGTGTTTTATTTTATTGTATTTTTATTGTGCTTCATT